CAGCCCCTGTCTGCTCCCCAGAGTCCACCACACAGGAGACCACTGGGCAGCCCCTGTCTGCTCCCCAGAGTCCACCACACAGGAGACCACTGGGCTGCCCCTGTCTGCTCCCCTCAGGGTTCTAACAGGGAGGAACATGGGGACCGATCAGGCTCTGTGGGCTCCATAGTCCCTGGTGGTGCAATTGATTCATGCTCCACTACTAACCAAGTACTGGCAATTCTAGTCCCCCAGAAGTGCAGTGGAAGAAAGTCCTGGTAATAGACTTTCCAGAAGCCCTACACATTTCAAGGTCAGAAGGAGTCCAAGTGAGCCCCACAGTAACAGGCTTTTTCTCCCTGGAGTCAGAGACAGACACATACTCAACTCTCCCTGCAGACAAGGAGCCCAGCTGAGTCCAGAAGCTAAAACCCTCAAAGCAGAGGTGCTGATTTCACAACATCCATTGGCACCAACAGCACGAGAACCCCTCAGTGATCGTGGCTCACCCCACCTTGTCCCGTGCCTGTGGTAGCCGGCCAAGCCAGCTGTGGTGCCCCAGCTCCAGCATACTGCCAAGGCCCCCGGGGACCACCTGGTGCCAATGACCGAAGCCCAGTTACGCAGCTGACCCATCCTTTGAGGCCCTTTGGGACTGCTTGTTAAGTCCTCATTACTGTGCTTTAATAAGGACATTAACTCCAACTTGTTTACAGTCAAGCCCGCAGCCTTGTAAACAAGCTAACCTGGGGTTAGCACAGCCCTGGAGACGGGGCGGCAAAGCATCAGACCACAGGGAGAGGAAAGATGACTACCGGGGGCCTGGGCTGGTGTTAACAAATCTGCGGCAGCAGCGAGGCGGGGCCATGTGGATACAAAGTATCTGCCCAAACCCCAGAGTTTCCGTGACAACCAGTCCTCATTCGCTTCTTTCCTATCAGGGTTAGTTGTTGTTTAAGAGTCTAAGACCCTGTATAGGGCTTCCGAGGAGCAGCTGGTGAGCTTAAACTGCGGACCTTGCAGTTCATACTGACTTTACAGTCCAGCGCATTAGCCACAGCACCACCAGGCCTCTGGGTGAGAGACACAGGAAGCTAAAATGTACTACAAATATTTATGCCCTTATTAATAAAAATGAAATAGGAAAAGAAATTTCACATAGGACAACACAGCATCAAAGAGGCCTGGTAGTACTGTGGGCTAAGCACTGAACTGCTCACTACTAGGTCGGCAGTTCAAACTCATGAGCCGCTCCTTGGGAGAAACATGCAGCTAGCTGTCTCCCCCAAGAAAGGTTTACAGCCTGGGAAACCACAGGCATCAGTTTTACCCTGTCCCTATAGGGTCACTGGGGTCCTAGTGTGTGCTGTAGGATAGGCACTGGACTGCTAACCACAAGGTTGCTGGTTCAAAGGCACCAGTTGCTCCTTGGAAACCTACCCAGGGTCGCTGTGAGTTGGCACTGACTAGACAGCACGTCACAACAATAACAACAGGGTTACTATCAGTGGGAATCTCCTGGAGACCAATGGGTTGGCTTTGGTAGACCATGTACTTTAGTTAGTAACAATGGATCGATTGGGTTCATCCAGTGCAGGGCTGGGCAACCTCCAGCCCTTGAGCTGTAGGTTTTTAAGTGCTCTAGGGTTTCTGAGGAGCAGCTGGTGAGCCTGACCTTGCAGTTCAAACTGCAGTCTGCAACATTAGCCCACAGCACCACACCAACACTCCACTTGAGCTGTATGGTGGTGGTGGTGGTTATGTGCCGTGGAGTTGGAACCGACCCACAGTGACCCTGTACAGAGTTTCCAAGGCTGTAAATCTTTATGGGAGCAGAATGCCTCATTTTTCTCCCGCGGAACAGCTGGTAGTTTCTAACTGCTGACCTTGAGGTTGGCAGCCCAACTCGTAACCACTACACTACCAGAGCTCCTTTGTTGTTGTTGTTGTTGTTATGTGCCATGGAGTTAATTCCGACTCAGAGCGACCCTGTACAGGGTTTCTGAGGTTGTAAATCTTTACGGGAGCAGAAAGCCTCATCTTTCTCCCGCGGAACAGCTGGTAGTTTCGAACTGCTGACCTTAAGTTCGCAGACAGATTCGTAACCACTACGCTACCAGAGCTCCTTAGAGCTCCTTTAGGGGTGAGTTAATGAAATGCTTGACCAAATACAGCAGGCTCACTTTTAAGCTGATAATTTTGTATGTCCCACAAATGGTGCTATAAATTTTGGCAGAAAAAGTTTCCCTACTCCTGATCTGGGTTCTATGAAGAAAAACATGGCGTCAGGATTGGAGGAAGACTCATTAACAACCTGCGATATGCAGATGATACAACCTTGATCGCTGAAAGTGAAGAGGACTTGAAACATTTACTTATGAAGATCAAAGAGCACAGCCTTCAATATGGATTACATCTCAATGTCAAGAAAACAAAAATCCTCACCACTGGACCAATAAACAACATTGTTATCAATGGAGAAAAGATTGAAGTTGTCAAGGACTTCATTCTTCTTGGATCAACTATCAACACTCGCGGAAGCAGCAATCAAGAAATCAAATGACATATTGCATTAGGCAAATTTGCTGCACAAGACCTTTTTAAAGTGTTGAAGAGCAAAGATGTCAGCTTGAGGACCAAGGTGTGCCTTACCCAAACCATGGTATTTTTAGTAACCTCATACACATGCAAAAGCTGGACAATGAATAAGGAAGACCATAGAAGAATTGATGCCTTTGAGTTATGGTGTTGGAGGAGAATACTGAAAGTGCCATGGGCTGCCAAAAGAACCAACAGATCTGTGTTGGAAGAAGTACAGCCAGAGTGCTCCTTGGAGGCCAGGATGGCCAAACTTCGTCTCTCATACTTCGGACATACTGTCAGGAGGGACCAGTCTCTGGAGAAGGAGATCACGTTTGATAAGGTGAAGGGTCAGAGAAAAAGAGGAAGACCCCCAGCGAGATGGACTGACAAAGTGGCAGCATCAACGGGCTCAAGTGTGGCAACAATTGTGAGGTTGGCCCAGGGCCAGACAGTGTTTTGTTCTGTTGTGCATAGGGTTTATATGAGTCGGTACCGACTTGGTGGCCCCTAACAACAACAACTCCTGATCTATTATAACAGACAGGAACAAGATGAGGCTATATGCTCCCATAAAGGTTTACAGCCTCTGAAACCCTACGCATGGTCACTATGAGTCAGAACTGGCTCAACAACAACAACATTTGTAACAAACCCCAGGAGCGTGAACCTTTCACAGTTCGGCAAACAGCTTACAGAGCAGGGAATACAGGAACTCTAATGTTCTGCATACTTGTCCTGTAAATCTGAAAGCACATTTTAAAGGCATTGCAATGTTTATAGTGAAAACCTGAGGCTGTCTTTCAGGACCAGGCCTGCGTTTTCAAAACAAGTGTGGCAGGTTCACACTCACTAAGGAAGAATGAGAGAAGAAGGACCTAGAAGAGATGCTCTCCTCTCCTGCGTGCTAAGGGTGAGGCTTCAAACATGGCAAGGAGGAAGGAAAACACAAGGTTTCCTGACTCACACTGATTCTCAAGCCCCCCAGGCATGTTCAGAGAGAAGACATTTTCAGCATCAGTCTCCCTGACTTTCTTACCCCACACCCACTCCCATCCATTTACAGCCTACGTCTCCCTCTCTGGCTCCTGTGTAGGTACCGACCACGTTTATAAACAGCGCTTACTAAGTGGTTAAAGGCAAGCATTTCTCCTGCGTGTATGCTCTGGATATGAGACGTGCTCACTGGCAGCAGATGAAACAGAGCAGAGGACCCAGGAGACACCCCCCAACATGCAGGGTCCACGAGCCCAGTCTCTCTCAGCCCTCTCCGCTCCGGCCTGCTCACCCTCATGCTTGTAGGTCATCTCTTGGCAGCCGGAGAAGTAGAGACATACAAGGGTACAGAGGCACAGGAAGAAGGAGAAATAAAGCACAAACAGGAAATACTCCATCACCCGCCTGCGTGCACCCACAACAGCATCAGTGCTCAGACTCCGGGGTCCTCGGAGACGTCTCCACCATCCCCACGAGCATCTCTGGTCACTGTCACTGATGCCGGGCTGCTGTGGAGCCCAGAGCTCGGACGCCTGGAAGGGCCCCTTGATCAAAGGGTGCCAGCTCCAGGGAGTCCAGAAGAATCGCCTCCTGGAACAGGCTGAGCACACTGCCACTGAGGAGCTTGTGAGCCGGCTGTCCTCGGGGAATGCGGCTCTCAGTCCCCAGTCTGCGTGGGCCCAACCTGTTGTCAACACTGTCCCCTAGGCCTGGGTCCCCAGGGGCAGTAACAGCAACAGTGACTCAGTGCAAGCTGCCTCCTCCAGGCACCTCCCTCCCTGGGGTGGGGTTGACTTCTGCTGGTCCCCAACCCCAAGCTGGGCCCCCGACTCATCAGACACACTAGTTGATTTCATCAGCATTTGACCACCCACTCATATCAAATGGCTCTCCATGAATCTGACCTCAGCCAACAACCTGAGGCCAGAGCACATGCAAGATTTTACCATTAAAAGTAAAACTTGTGGACATAAATTGTTGTTAAGTACCATCCAGTCAATTCTGACCCATAGCTACCCTGTATAGGGTTTCCAGAGTGGCTGGTGAGTTTGAACCACCGAACTTTTTGGTCGAGTGCTGATCCTACAGCGCCACACCAAGATGTTAACAGCTAGTAACCATCACACAATGCTGAAACGTAAGGCAGATGTTTCCACATCACGTCTGGATACGAGGTTAAGTTCAAAGGCACCGCTACCAGGGCACCAGCTCATCATGCACACGGTTATGCCAAGATGGACTTCAGCAGCGCTTGAAGACCCGGGCAGGTGCTATCAGCTGTGCCATCATGGCATGCTAGTCCAGTTAGCTCTGATTAAGGTTTGAAACCACACTGCCCAGGAGGCAATGGGACAGGGTGAGGTGTGAGCCGGCCCGCTGAGAGGTAACACCCCAGCAGGGTGGCGCCAGCAGAAGCTATTCAGGTGCCTGGGCCACCACACGGGGGAGCCTGCAGAGAAAGAGGCCAATCAGAAGCCCGGCTCCAGCCTCCTACGGTTGCCTAGCAACCTGCTCCCAGATGCTGGGGCCACAAACATGCCTCGTGTGATGCCACACCTCATTCCTCCAGACAATTAGGTGTTATGAAAATGGCTTCTTCAGGAAAGAAGCTCACTCATTCAGGTACCAGAAAGCACCCGCTGCCTGAGGCCAGCACTGAGCACACATGGCCAGCAGGACAGGCATGGCAAACCCTCACAGAAGCTCTTGAGCAAGCCGCTAGCAATCATCGTTTATCCCATGGCTCTGCAGACTACACATTCCGAAACCAGGAGAAGAGAAAACCTGGATCTTCCTTACTCTGGTTTGGGGAACAGTCAGGGCTCAGCGATGGGTCCCCACCCGGGGGCTTTTCAGGTGTGTGTCACCACATCACATCGCCAGAGGGATTCCTGCTTCTCACACACAGGTCCCGGGCTGAAAGCTGCGCGCCTGGGCCATCAGCCACCATGCACGGTGATGCAGCTCTTCTGAGAAACACAGGAGGGCGCCTGTTTCCAGCTCAAAGCTTCCCACCTTCAGAACGCACGCCTGCCCGGAATCATTGGGGAAGCTACCCCCACTGCAGCTCCTGATTTTGATGGTGACGTTCTCGGAGAAATGGTGGCTGAATAGGGCCTGGAGAGAGCCGTCTCCGCAAGTTAAGCACCCAAATCCACCACAGTGCCTGCACTAGCTCAGGGGTCAGCTAGCCATGGCCAGTCTGCTCCGCAGACCACGTGAGGTGGTGGCCTCACGTGGAAGGCGTCTCCTAGACAACAGCATTCTGCAGACAGGCAGACTTACCGAGATTGCACAGAGCTCCATGCGTGATGCAGGTGCCTACACCCAACCCACTGGGGTGGGGCCTCAGACCACTTTCATAAAATATGTAAATATATTTAAATATAAACAATCCTGCCCCCACTACTTTCCATTTCTGACCTGCTCATCTAGGTGCGGGGGCCCTAGCAACGGCAGTGGGTCATGTGCTGTTAACCACAAGGTCAGCAGTTCAAGCCCACCAGCCATTCCACAGGAGAAAAGATGAGGCTTCCTGCTCCCGTACAGCTTTACCACCTCGGAAACCCTGTACAGAGTCACTATGAGGCGGGTAAGTCTTCACAGAACGCCAACAACCACAATACCTCAGTGTACGTGAGGCAGTGTGAACCCTCCCTCCCTGATGCTGCCCCAGAAGGCTCACCTTGGGGGGCTTCAGGCTCCTCCCACGCTGTCGCCTGGATCGAAGGAGCCGGTCTCGTTCCTGGAAGGAAACACAGCTGTCTGCTTGTCAGGCTCGTAGCCCCCAGACCCTAGGCCCACCAGACCTCAGACCCCCAGACCCTCAGCCTCCAGGCCTCTAGACCCCAGACTCTTGACCCACCAAACCCAAGACCCCAGATCCTTGGCCTCCAGACTCCTAGATCCCCAGGCCCTCTACACTACCAGATTCTAGACTCCTGACCCTCAAGCCCCCGGCCTACTGATCCCTCAGCCCTTAAACCCCTAGACCCCAAATACTCAGTTCTCCAGCCTCTAGACCCTAGGCCCCTAACACCCTGGTTCTCTGTTCCCTGCCCCAAAATCCCTAACTCCTAGACCCCATACCCCCAGGTCCCAACATCCCCAGATTCCCTAATACCCTAGACTCCCAGACCTCCAGTCCCCTGACTCCACACCCAAGGTCCCCCAGGCAGCCAACCACTAGACCCACAGACCGCCTAGGTTCCAGACTTCCTGATCCCAGACCCCCAGTCTCTTAGGTTCCCCAACCCCCAGGTCCCTAGCCCCCAGACCCTCAGTGTACTCTACAGGGCCAGGATGGTTCAGCCTGGGTGTCAGGTGGGGGGCTGTGGACGGCTTCTTCTCAGGGGGTTGTGCCATGACTCAAGCTCTTAACCAAACTCGTACTGACAGGACAGAGCACTAACACTCGCAGGTCCGGCCACCCTCAAGACTAGCTCTGGGCTGGCGGAGTGAACACAGAGGGAACAGAGGAGCTGCTCTGTAGCAGATAGCAGGAGCGTGTGGCTTTGTGTCAGGCTGAGAAAGTCCAGACAAGCCCACTGCTATCCATCCTGCTCACAGCGCCCTGCATCGGGGCTCCGGGCAGCCACTCTTCACTGCAGCAGGAAGTCTCATCATTTTCCCTGATACCCTTGCAGTTAGCAGTTCAGTGCGGAAGCCACAGATCCATCAGGGCTACTGGGTCACACAGAGTCCATGTGACTCATGGCCCTCCCAGCCAGTGAACATCCCTGCTTTCTCTGATCCTGAGTTTCCACCTTTGCTGAAGGGGCCTGAACAACCCTGCGATTCTGCCATAAGGAGGAAACAAAACTTGTGGGGCCTGGTGGCTTTTAACCCATACGTCACACCCTGAGGAAGACTTTGACTTTTCTTTCCAATCACATTTCCCTTTTCCCTTTGGGTGCCAGGAAACCTAGAGCCAAATATGGTGGTCAGCCTCAGTCCTAGGAGCCTCCCATGGGGTCTACCTGATCTGGACTAATGCGGTGGTCTTGATTTCCCTTAAGCTTTCTATTTTATCACCATTTTATTGAATGTGTTCTCAGCCTAAGTTGCATCAAGTTTTTTTGTGTATGAGGGAGATATGAAAGGAGGGAAGGGAGGGAAGAAGGGAAAGAGAGAAGACGGAGATGAAGGGAGAAGAAAAGAATTAAAGGATGGATGGAAAGATGGACGTCATGGATGAATGATGTATGTATGGATTGATGGATGACTGGATGGTGATGGATGGATGGATGGATGGGTGAATAATTGGATGGATGGATGACTGGATGATTGGATGGTGATGGATAATGTGGATAATGTGTGAATAAACGGATGGATGGATGGTTGGATAGATGGATGGATGTGTGAATAACTGGATGGATATTTGGATGGATGGATGGATGGTTGGACAGATGGATGGGTAAATGAATGCATGATGATGGATGGTTGGATGGATGGTTGGAGGCATAGATGATTGGATGGTGATGGGTGGATGAATGGGTGAATAACTGGATAGATAGATGGATGATTGGATGGTGATAGATGTTAAGATGATGATGGATGGATAGATGGATGGGTGAATGAATAGATGATGATGGATGGTTAGATAGATGGATGGATGGATAGATGATTGGATGGTGATAGATGGATGTGTGAATAATTGGATGGGGATGGTTGGATGATGACTAATAGATGAATGGGTGAATAATTGGATAGATAGTTGGATGGATAGATGGGCCTGGAGATGGCCCATTCCAGCCCCATGGCCCCATGCCCTTGGGCAGCACACGTACCACACACAGGTCATCAATGACGTGCTGTTGCTCCAACACCTGCAACCGAAGAAACTCGATCTCCTGCTCGTCCCGGGTGAGGCTGAGGTCATTCAAGGACGTGTGCCGCTTCAGTGAGGCCTGAGCAGACAGCTTCTCCTTCTGTGGAGGGCAGGACAGCCAGGTTATGCCCACTGATGGACAGGGGTGAGGTCAGAGGGAGGGATGAAGGGAGGATGGAGCCAGGACTGCTGCCAGCTGGAGCAGCAAGACTGCAGGTAGATGCTGAACCAGAGAGAAGCAGGGCACACCGGGGCACGCAGGAGCGAAGGCAGGGAGGATGACCCATGCAGCAGTGGCAACACTCCCACCTCTCACCACTATAGTACGAGCTCTCAGAAACTCAGTTTTCTCAGCTGTAAAATGGGGTAATGCATGCTGCATTGAGCAACGAACCCAAGAGTAATCTATAAACCATGAACTATCAGATGCTTTCCTGACCACAAGTACCAGTTGTTCTTATTTTAGCATGACTACTTTCACGTCCTGAGTACCCTCATCAATCCTCTGGGTCACCCCACAGTGTTGACACTCTCACTTTTATTTACATAGGAGTAAAGTGAGGTTTTACTCCACAAGAGCCAAAATAGGACCTTGAATATATGCCACCTGAATTTAGAGATCATCTCAAGAACAGATTTCACGCATTAGACACTAGAGACCAAAGACCAGAAGAGTTGTGGGATGACATCAAGAGCATCATACAGGAAGAAAGCAAAAGGTGATTAAGAAGACAAGAAAGAAGGAAAAGGTCAAAATGGACATCAGAAGAGACTCTGAAACTTGCTCTCCAGCATAGAGATGCTAAAGCAAATGGAAGAAGTGAAGAGGTACAAGAACTGAACAGAAAACTTCAAAGGTCAGCTCGAGAAGACAAAGTCAAATATTATAACAAAATGTGCACAGACCTGGAGTTAGAAAACAAAAAGGGAAGAACATGCTCAGTATTTCTCAAGCTGATGGAACTAAAGAAAAAATTCAAGCCTTGACTTGTGTTATTGAAGGATTCTCTGGGCAAATTATTGAATGATGCAGAAAGCATCAAACAAAGATGGAAGGAATACACAGAGTCACTGTACCAAAAGGAAATGGTTAATGTTCAACCATTTCAAGAGGTAGCAATGATCAAGAGTCAATGATTCTGAAGGAAGAATTCCAAGGTGCATTGAAGGCACTGGCAAATAACACGGCTCCAGGAATAGATGGAAGACAAATTAAAACCTTTCAACAAACTGATGCGGCACTGAAGGCACTCACTCATCTATGCCAAGAAATTTGGAGGACAACTACCTTGCCAATTTACTGAAAGAGATCCATATTTGTGCCCATTCCATAGAGAGGTGACCCAACAGAATGCAGAATATCACTGATATTCCATGCAAGTAAAGTTTTACTAAAAATAATACAGAAACGGCTGCAACCATACATTGACAGGGAACTTTCAGAGGTTTCAAGGCGGATTCAGAAGAGGACACAGAATGAGGGATTATCATTGCTGACATCAGATGGATCTTGGCTGAAAGCAGAGAATACCAGAAAAATGTGCTTTATTGATTACACAAAGGCTTTCGATTGTATGGATCATGACAAGCTACGGACAACATGATGAAGTATGAGTATTCCTGAACACTTAATTGTGCTCATGAGGAATCTGTACATAAATTAACAGGCAGTTGTTTGAACAGAACAAGATGACACTGAAAGGTTTAAAATCTGGAAAGGTATGCACCAGGGATGTATTCTTAAACCATACTTATACAATCTGTATCCTGGACAAGTTATCTGAGAATCTGAATTGTATGAAGAAAAACGTGGCATCAGGATTGGAGGAAGAGTCATTAACAACCTGCGATATGCAGATGATACAACCTTGCTTGCTGAAAGTGAAGAGGACTTAAAACATTTACTGATGAAAAGCCTTTGGTATGGATTACATCTCAATGTAAAGAAAACAAAAATCCTCACCACTGGACTAATAAACAACATTCTTATCAATGGAGAAAAGATTGAAGTTGTCAAGGACTTCATTCTTCTTGGATCAACTATCAACACTCATGGAAGCAGCAGTCAAGAAATCTAATGACGTATTGCATTAGGCAAATCTGCTGCACAAGACCTTTTTAAAGTGTTGAAGATCAAAGATGTCAGCTTGAGGACTAAGGTACTCCTGACCCAAGCCATGGTGTTTTCAATAACCTCATATGGATGCGAAAGCTGGACAGTGAATAAGGAAGATCGTAGAAGAATTGATGCCTTTGAGTTGTGGTGTTGGAGGACAATATTGAAAGTGCCATGGACTGCCAAAAAGAACCAATAGATCTGTTTTGGAAGAAGTGCAGCCAGAGTGCTCCTTGGAGGCCAGGATGGCTAAGCCTCGTCTCTCCTACTTCAGACATATTGTCAGGAGGGACCAATCGCTGGAGAAGGATATGATGTTTGGTTAAGGTGGAGGGTCAGAGAAAAAGAGGAAGACCCCCAACGAGATTGATTGGCAGGTGGCAGCATCGACGGACTCAAGCGTGGTAACAATAGTGAGGTTGGCCCAGGATCGGGCAGTGTTTCGTTCTGCTGTGCATGGGGTCGCTATGGGTCAGTATCAACTCGATGACACTTAACAACAACAACAACAACAGTGAGGCTCGGGGATGTTGAGAGGCATGTCTGCATTCCAGGAGCAGGGGACGCAGACCCACCAGCAACTTCTCCCCTAGCTGGAGCAGGGCGGGGAGGGGAGAAGGCGGGACTTCCGGAGGAAGTGGTAGAAGAGAGCCGGAGAAAGCGAAGCACGTCGAGGACACTCCGCACATTCCCACAGCCTCCCCTAGACGTCCTGTGGGCCGTGGGCCTCACCATGTCCACGTTCTCCCGTGTGAGAGTCTTGATCTTTTCCTCCATCCGCTGGATGCTGAGCAGAAGGTCCTCATTCTTCTTATTCATCCGCTTGTTCTTCTCCACCAGCGGCTTCAGCTGTACCTCTGTCTCGCGGTTTCGCTTCAGCTGCAGTGGAAACACAGGCCCCAGCGGGCACTCAGCCTGCCCTCTAGGACATTCGTAAGAAGAGAAGAGTCGGCACAAACCCAGCTTCCATCTGTGGTACCTCAGAAGACAGACCTGGAGAGCTGCTTCTGACACGTCAGCCACTGAACACCACGGGAGCACAGCTCTCCTCAGATACCCACTGAGCCGT